GTATGTTATATATATAATGTATGTATATATATATTGCTAATTCTTACTATGTAAAAATTTATAAGTATCAAAAGGGGATATAGTGAAAACTTGGTCCCCACGTCCATCCATGCCTCTCAGCAATCCAATATCTCTCCTGAAAAGTAAATTAAAATACAATTGCCAGTTTCTTACTTTTTTCTTTTTCTTCTAGCTGATTAACCTCTCTAAGCCAAAGAACTTCTCAGAAACTTTTCAGCATCTGCATTTTCCTGCCTGGTTAAATTTAACCTTAGTCACTCATCTTTCAAAGCATCAATGCTTTATATATTCCCTTTTAGTCTGTTTTTCTAGTTAGCCCTAAAAAGCTACCCACATCTCATCTTTATGTGTACTTTTTCCCATTTCCTAGGTATCATTCATGTTGTCCATTCGTTGTTTTGTGTGAAATTTCTGCTGCTTTGAGACTTAAGTCAGACCCCATTTTTTCCTGACAGCTCTTCAGTCCCATTGATTTTCTTCTTCTTTGAACTCCTAGGCATCTACAAAGAGGGTTATTTGAGTTCCCATTTTCAGTATTCCAAAATGATGCCAAAACATATTAAACAAATGGTATGTTGCATTATTTTGTCTGGAACTATATAAATCCAAAAAGAGGCAAAAAGATTAGCTCAGAGCTATCAGATGTTACAAGTAACATCAATTATCTTTGATTAATGAATAAAAACATTTAATATACAAAATCTTTCAAAATAAGGTCCCTTGGGGAAAAGAGTAAAAGGAGTTCATGATGGGGAGAAGTTGCTTACCACTAAATGTATACACATTTAATATTTAGTTTTGTAGGAAAGGGCTTAATAGCACTATCTTTGAAGTCAGGTGGACCTGAGTTTGACATTATTTGTATGAATTTAGTCAATTTGCATTATGTCTCGGAGCCTTGGTTTCTCTACAAGGAAATGAGCCAGGACAAGTCAAGCAGTCAGCACAATGCCTAGTAAATGATCAATAAACGTTATGTGTCATTATATTGTTATATTTTACTATAAGTAGTTTGTCTCCCAAATTAGGCAGAATAGTTGCCACTCCTACCCCTCCAGACGTCCACATCCTAATCTCCAGAATCTCTGAAGTTTACCTTACATGGCAATAGGGAGATTATTCTGGATTTTTCAGGTGGATCCAATGTAATCACTATGGTCCTTGAAAGGTGAAAGTAGGTAGAAGATTCAGAGAGAGATGATAAGTCATTGTCAAGGTCAGAGTGCTTTGATGTGAAGTTTCAGCCTGCTGTTGGAGGCTTTAAGGTGGAGCAAGGGGCCTGGGGCTAGGAGCCAAGGGAGATAAATAGCCTCTAAAAAGGAGCTAGAAAAAGTATGGAAATAGATTCTTCCCTAGAGACTTCAGAGAGGAATAGCTCTGTCAACACTTTGTTTTCAGCATAGTGAGACCGGTTCTGATTTCTGACCTCTAGAACTGGAAGATTATCAATTTGTGTTGCTTTACACCACTACGTGATAATTTATAAAGCATCACTAGGAAATGAATGCATCTTCTCAGCTGGACTCCTTTATGAAGACAAATTTTGTACAGCTCCTAGTGTCCAGAATACTGCTGCATATAAACATAGATGAATGACTTGCATTTACTGAGGATTCCAGCAGAGAGGCATAGCAACATGTAAATTGCCCTTTCCAGTGGAGAAGAGGAAACCCAGGGTTAGCCACCAGTCAGCTCTCTTGCCAAATGTGGATTTCCATTACAGAGCAAGTTAAAAATACTGGGGAAATTCCCTATCTTACTGCCAGGGAAAGATACTCACTGGCAATAAATTCATCCACAGTCCAGTCATGGTTTTCCCCTCAGTGTCTCTGGCTCCTAGAATTACAGCTAGCTTACAAGTTCAATAATAATACCATGTATTGAGCATACAGTATGTATGAGGCCTTGTGCTAAATGTTCTGCACATATTAGCCTAGGTAATCCTCACAAAATTCCTATGGTGGTGAAAAGAAAGGTAGTGCCTTGTTTTTCAAACTTAAGGTTATGACACTTACTGGATCCTGAAATTGCTTTGGTGGGGAGTGATCAGTAGTTCTAAAAAATAAACTACAATAGAAAATATCAATGTATCACATGAAGTAAGAGTAAGAATGGTTTAATAAAATATTGGTTTCAATTATATATATATTTATATATCTAATACAAACATATATGTGCATGTACTGGCTTGTATTATGGAGCATATTTCTTCAATGGATTATAGTAAAATATTTCTTATAGTAGGTTATATTTAAAAATTTTAAAAACCACCAATGAAGTAGTTGAGAGTATAGGCTCTAGCCACAGGGCTACCTGGGTTTTAATCTCAATTCTTTATTTCATCATCCCTGTGATGTTGATCTTGAGCATGTTACTTATTCTTTTTGTTACTTCATCGTATAGGGTCCCATCTCGTAGGATCTTTTTGAGGGTTAAGTGGGTTAATCCAAGAAAACACTTAGAACTATGGCTTAGTAAATAATGTTGGGTTAATGTCACTTCCCCATGCTAGACGGTGAGTATGTAGGAAACTGGGAAGATTCCTGTACTATTTGACAAAGTCTAGCTTTGACTTTGAATTCTAAGGCAATTTCTCGCTATCTTAGGTGTCTCCTCAAAACAAATAAACAACAAAATAAGTCTCCCTTTACAATGTTTCCATCAAGTTAAAAATAATCATCTGCTAAGGAAGTTGGCCTAGTTGGCAGTCTTGTCTCTGAGGGAGACTTTGTGACTTGTTCTCTGAGTTTCCAGAGAAGAAAATGTGGAAGGCATTCAGTGGTGTATAGAACAAACAGATGTCTTACTTAAACCTTTACTGTAGGGGCACCATATATCTAGGGACTCAGATCAACTACGAATTCCTAAAAGAATCTGGAGGGAGGTCTGCTGTCTATAAGCATAGCAAGTGATTGGAGTTCTGGTTTTATTTTGCAGGTATTTCTTGTGTGTGGTTTCTTGTGGTTTGTGTGTGTGTGTGTGTGTGTGTGTGTTTTGTTTGTTTTGTTTTTTGTTTTTCCCCTTGCTTTGTTTCCTCCTCTGCTCTAGCAGACAACTCAGGCATTTTATCAATCTCTTAAAAAATGTTTTGACCCTACCTGTGGTACGTTTTCTGAGTGTAATTGAAATATATAACCAGGCTGTATTACTTATGTACTGAAATTTTAATAATTTAAGAAGCTAATGATTCTCAATTTATAGCCAACTTAATTGGTAAAATTATTGTGGGCCTTTAAACTATTGATTTTAATGTTCAGCCAATATCCAACTTAAAATGAATTCCATATCACTTCCAACTTGCTTGACTATAGAGTTATTTTGTTGCTAGTTAAGGTTTTGTTGGAAGATGTATTTCTAGGCTTTAAGATTTGGGAAAGGTATGAATCCAACCTATGTACTAGTATCTGGCAAGAAGACAGCAGTGTCTTGAACCAGCAGGGAAAGGAAGGAGGCATATTCAGCACTCCTGCCCTATTTCAACACATCCATTCTCTCTATTAACATTTGTGTTGGTTTGAATGTTGTTTGCAGTATATGGCCCTGCTGCCTTAGAACACTAAGTAGAAGGAACAATAGTGCCAATAATTCTCTGACAGGAATGTACCTCTTTTTCACTTATTTTTTCCTTGAAGAATATGAACTTCCTTGACTTAATTTTTAGAGCAATTTCAGTCCATAGCAAATTAAGGGGAAGGTGCAGAGATTTCCCATATATTTCTGCCCCAACACATGCATAATCTCGCTCATTATTAATATCCCTCACTAGAGTGGTACATTCATTACAACTGATTACTCAGAATCCATAGTTTACATTGCAGTTCATTCTTGGAGTTGTACATTCTATAGGTTTGGACAAATATATTATGGCATACATCCACTATATATAGTATCCTACAGAATAGTTTCACTGCTCTAAAAATCGTCTGTACTGTGTAGCTTGTGAATTTGAACCCCTCGTTGGGCTCTGTGCTGATAGCTCAGAGCCTGGATCCTGCTTTAGATTCTGTCTCTATCTCTCTGCCCCTCCCCTGCTCTTTCTCTCTCAAATATAACTAAACAAATATAACTAAACATAAAATTTTTTTTTTGTCTGTGCTACGTACTCCCACCCATGATCCCACACCATGGTAACCACTAATCTTTTACTGTTTCCATAGTTTTGCCTTTTCCATAAAGAATACAGTTGGAATCATATAATATGTAATCTTTTCAGATTACCCTTTACTTAATAATATGTATTACAGTTTCCTCCATGTCTTTTTATGACTTTACAGTTCATTTCCTTTTAGCTGAATAATATCCCATTGCCTGGATGTACCACAGTTGTTTTTTGTTTTTTTTTATCCATTCACCTACTGAAGGACATCTTGATTGCTTCTAAGTGTTAGAAATTGTGAGTAAAACTGCTGTAAATATCCCTGTATAGACTTTTGTGTCGATATAACTTTTCAGCTCCTTTGGGTAAATATCAAGGAGCTCAATTCCTGGATCATATGGTAAGAGTATGCTTAGTTTTGTAAGAAACTTCCAAACCATCCTCAAAAGTGTCTGTGTCTCACCCTCTCTGTTTGTTTTTAAGTCTATGAACAATCTTCGAGGTCAGCAGTGGTCTAAACGAATAAATATGTGTATGTGTAGTAGTTTTGCAAGGCATTCTGTGGAGCTGGTTATTAATTGATAAGCATGTAGTTCCAGCAGCTGACCCCAGACTTCTGCAACCCAGCCTAGGAGGCATTTGTAAAAGGCCTAGAGAAGCCAAACTGCCTCATTGGTCTTCAGTGGGTAGTACATGGGAGCTGTAGCAAGGATTGGGCAAGTGGCATACAAAGGTACATGTGGAGGTCTCTGTTCCTCTGAAATATGCTGGATAGTCATTGGCTTTGTGAGAACACAGAAAAAGCAAAAGTATGCTGGCCTTTTAGGCGGAGCTTAGTGTTCCTTTCTGTTAACCCAATATCGTTTCACACTTGCCATCTCAGGGTCGGGATGTTTTATTGGACCATGGATACTCTGAGAGTATAGGTCATGTTGGATGGTTGCTTGGGGACAGTTCCTGCTGAGAGCTTGGAGAGGTAAGTGAAAAGAGGGTAGTGCTCTCATTCCTCATGGGCCCCCTTTCCACAGTGCATTTAGTAATGAGTATATTTGCTTATTAGACACGGGCTCTTTGCTTATACATGTTAGAGAGTGATAGAAGCACACAGTCTAGTTGACATTGCTTTTAAAAAGTAATATAGCTCTCTAATAAAATAAGTCCATTTCAAAGCAAAAGTTTTAATGATAAAAGTATTGCGATTTGAGTATACCTACCAAACAATATCTTTCTTCTCCTCTTGAACTTGGAGCCAAGTAAGAGTTGAAGTCAGTGGTCAGCAGATAGGTATCACATGGCAACTGTCGTGCTGAGCAGCAGTGGATCAAACACATACACTCAAGGCTGGTGCAGCCTTAGTGGACTTTACAAGTTCATCTCTGAATTAGGTGAGTGGGCTCAGTCACTGTCCACTGAGTGTCCACTGTCCACTCAGCTGTCCACTGCTGGACAGCTGCCAGCCTCTGGACCGGGCAGGCAACTCACTGCATAGTAAAAAATAGAGGAATTTATTGAATGAGTCTAAAAGTATTTATTTAGTGAACACTCTGTTAGTGCTGGCATTGTTCTAGATGCTGAAGACACAGCAGTGAGTAAGACAGGCAAAATCCTTGCCCTCCGGTATGTTTGTTCCTTCTGTTCGTGGGGGAAATGGGCATAAAGCAGGGTACCATAAGTAGCAGAGACAATAAAAGACATGCTTCTGGTTGACAGACCAGCTCTGAAAGATTGAGAAAGGGCCTGAGAATGACCTCGTGTCTTGTTCTAATTCACCTATCCGATAAATCTTAGGAAGGGGTCTGTAAAGGAGGGGAGATGCAAGGAACATTAGTATAGTGTATTTAAGTAAACATGAGGCAAAGGGGTGGAGGTTTCCTTCCAATAAAAAGTCATATTTGTACGTACAAATTCAACAGATATGAATAAATGAAAGCCCTCCCCAATTCTCACAGTATCACTCCTTCTACCTCCTACAAGATAACCATTATTAACATTTTATGTTAAAATCAGTAATTGCCCAATCAATATCTGAACATAAAACATACATAGTATGTGTATTTAATCATTTAAAATATTTGCTAGGCATAAATGTGGAAGAATAAAGTAGTAAAAGATAAAACAAATGACTGTGCAGACCCTTTAGGTATCCTTACTAAATACACCTGCTATTTTGTTGTAAAGCAGTACTGTTTTCTTTTACTTTCATCTTTCTAATATCAGGGCAAGAAAAAAACCCAACTTTATAGTTTTCTTGCATCTACTGTGATCCTAAGGCTTAAGATCTTGAGTCTTTTCCTTATTCATTAAGTATCCACTATTTACCATGTAAGGTACCAGAAATAGCAAGATTAATAAACACTAATATCCTTTAAAGTCTATGCCTTTATGATCTGTGCTTCCAGGAAAACTGCTTTTCGTGGGGCTGCTGAATACCTTTTAGCTCTCTCTCCTGCAACGTGCACTGATTGAGAGTCCTTCTTTCATGGAGTGGTGTCCTGGCATCTCCAGAATTAGATTGTTCTCCTTTTGAGGTAGATATGTTGTAAACCTCTTCAAGAAGGCCTCATGTTATGTCTCTAATACCTCATGTTCTGTGATCTCTTTTCTCACTCTTGAAGATAGAAGGATGGTAAAAATATGCTGCTTCATTTCTTTCTCTCTCTGGATTCGGAAGGAGTTATATATTGGGATTTTGGTGCTGGCTTACCCCTTATAGCTCCTGTCTCCAATGCCTATCACAGCGGGTCAAATTATTAGTGAGTAAGGAAGTTCCTATGTTTCCTTTAAAGAGAATCATACTTCTGGTTCTTTACAACATTTCTTTTTTAAAAACAGTTTATTTATTTATTTTGAGAGAGAGGGAGAGCACACATGGGTATGCAATCAGGGGAGAGGCAGAGAGAGAATCCCAAGTGGGGTCTGGGCTGTCAGCACAGATCCTGACATGGGGCTCAATCTCATGAACCCAGATATTATGACCTGAGTCAAAATCAAGAGTCAGATGCTTAACTGACTGAGCCACCCAGGTGCCCCTGGTTCTTTACAAACTTCCTTCTTAAAAAAATTTTTTTTTGTTAATGTTTATTTATTTTTGAGAAAGAGCATGAGCAGGATAGGAACAAGGAGAGAGGAAGACACAGAATTTTAAGCAGGCTCCAGGCTCTGAGCTGTCAGCAGAGAGCCTGATGCGGAGCTCGAGCCCACGAACCATGAGATCATGACCTGGACCGAAGTCAGCTACTTAACTGACCAAGACCCAGGTGCCCCATTTACAACATTTCTTAAAGATTGATGCCAACGCTGCAGATTTAACACCCTCTGTGTTTCCCATGAGATCATAGTTTTGAATAATTCCTTAAAAAAGAGCAGAACAGTTTTCTAGTCAATCAAAATTGTAACCTTTCAGTCAACTTGCTTGCCAGTAAAGCCTGGATCACCAAATTATGGACTGAATTCTACCCTTCACCCACTAGGTAGGTGTGTGACTGGAGAATGATAAGAAGCATTCACATTGTGCTTCCCAATTACAAAGCAACATAGCTGAAGGACTTTATTTGATTTTTCATGAATAGAGGACTCAGAATCTCAGTCAAAGATAATATAAAAACCAGTAATGAAAACATGGAATACCAGAGCAAAGTAAATCCTTATAAAAGATGGAAAACTACCAATTTAATGGGGTCAGTTACTCTAATCTCATCTCCAAATATCGCTTATTATTAAAAGCCATTACATAAAGATACATATATGAATTGAACAAAGTGATTCACAAAGGTGCCACAAGAATTTGTACTCCTGCCAGCCCACGGGAGGCCTTATGTTGAGGAGTAATTATGCGGAAGTCTAAATACAGTTTTCTGAACATGATTGTTAAGACTAAACTGGTTATACATGTCTAGCTTCTCCAGCTAGTCAGACATCCAAATAAAGACTAGGGAAATACGTATATTGTTTATGCACACTTGTACAGGGCTATAACAACAGGTACCTTTTATTGAGAACATCCAATTATTCATGATCCCCTACTACAATAGTACTAAATATTTTATCCTGTTTTACTCTCCTTTGTATCTGAGTCACCATCTTAGATTGTAATGTCATGTAATGTACATGACATTAAGTCTTTTAAGCCACCAGGATAGCCTTTAGTTCTGTGCTCTGATATACTAAGCTAGTAGCATTTAATTATGAAATTCTGGACATTCACAGTCAACTAGCAGAAAAGAAAACTTGAAGGTTTCTGTATCTTCTCTAACATGGTGCTTCTTCTCAAACCTTCTTGTGTATGTGAATCACCTGGGAATCTTCTGATTCAACAGGAATGGGTGGGGCTTGAGATCCTTCAGATCTAAGAAGCTCCCAGGTGATGCCAGTGCTGTTAACCCATGAACCATAGTTATAGTGGCTCAAGATAAAATATATGAAGGGTCCCAGGAGATACTGTGGTCTAAGTAAAATTGCTTTCCCTGATATTCTCAATGAGTACCTATTGTATATAGCACTGGATGCATTTTAACCCAAACAGAAATAATTAACATCTTGTCCTTATAAAGATATAGAAATATATAATTTCCACTAAATATCAAAAATAAGTAAGACAATATTTATTTTATTATTTTAGACAATGTTAGAGTCATCTTTATGGAATTAGGAAAAAAACTTAGTGAAGGAAAAACATGAAAGGCATACAAGAAATGAGTTGGAATAAGAAAGACAAAAACATAAGTTTCAAAGAAGTGATGTGGCACAATTGGACAGGAGTGAGAGTAGAAAGTAAGTAACAAAATGAAAGCAGAATTGGAAGGAGAGTTTTGGGGAAGGAAAGAGTCTTTGGAAGGGAAGAGAAAATATTTTTAGTTCACATTTCAAAGGGCTCCAAGTAAGCAAACCAGTCAGTCATGCTGGCAACTTTCATTTGGCTTCCATTGTGTCCCTGGCCCTATTTCTGCTCAGTTCTGACAAGTTAAAGAATATACATTCAGTCTTTGATGTACGACCGCAACTGTAACACTGACTAAATTATAATCCATCTTGCAGTCTAGTTTTGTGAAGAACCTCCCATTTATTCTTCTTTAGTCCCCATTAAGGATATCCCTTCTGGTGTGTCATTCTAGTTTCTTACAGGAACTCCTTAATTTTCCACAAGGAAACTAGAGTTTTCCTCTCAAAACAAAGCCCATATTTGGTATTGTAAAGAGAAGGACAAGATTTTGATGCATCTTATTTTAATTATTTATTATGAAGAAAGTCACTGTAATCAGCCTTTACAAAGCAGCTTGTGTTAAAAGTTGGAATATTTGGAAGCCCAGTAAAAGAGTAATTTTGTTGTTGTTCTACACAACATAACCTTTCACCTAATTAAACAATTCAGCTGTCGGGGGAGGGACAACTGGACCTGGTGCCCAGGCCTTAAATCCTCCATCCCTTGAGGATCTCACTAATCATCAGTGACACCACCACCCTTGCCCTCAGGGAAGATGTTGACGCCTGCCACTATTAGCACCCAGGCCTAGCTAAGGACACACACCCCTTTGGGAATTTACCACAGCCAGCTGAGTCTACTATGTTGCCCCCAACAATGTTTCCCAGAGGTTCAGGGCTAACAGCAGAGAATTATAAGATAATGAGATACAAGTAACTGCTTGTATGTGCCTTGCTCTTTAGAGCATACAGAACCCATTATCACCCCCCTACCACTGCACACCCCCCCTCCCCCCCGCCATCCCCAGAGAGTACCAGGAAGAAGAGAACAGTTTGGGATGCTCTCTTTATTTTGGTCTTCTCAGGCACTCTCCCTTCTTCTTTGGCAGACTTAGGAGCAAGTTCTCTGATGACTGTACAATCACTTCTTCACAACCTTGAACTGAGAGGCTTATCTGGTATGAGGGGAGGAGCCTAAAAAGATTACATCATGGGAATTGTTGAAGTAAAGTACCTTGAGAGTTTGTCACTGCCATTTTCAAAGGAAAAACTGAGTAGGTTACAGTATTTTATTTTATTATTTTATTATTTATTTTTTAGGTTTATGTGGCTGTTAGCAAAACCTAACTCCTTTATTTTTTTAGTTAAAAATTTTAAAAATTGTTAATATTTTATTTTTTAACATATTTAATATACATATGTAATATAACTTATTGTCAAATTGGCTAACATACAGTGTGTAAAGTGTGCTCTTGGTTTTGGGACTATATTCCTGTGGTTCATCGCTTACATACAACACCCAGTTCTCATCCCAACAAGTGCTCTCCTCAATGCCTATCACCCATTTTCCCCTCTCCCCCACCCCCATCAACCCTCAGATTGTTCTCTGTATTTAAGCATCTCTTATGGTTTGCTTCTCTCCTTCTCTGTAACTGTTTTTTTCCTCTTCCTTCCCCACATGGTCCTCTATTAAGCTTTTCAAGATCCACATATGAGTGAAAACATGGTATCTGTCTTTCGCTGACTGATTTCACTCAGCATAATACCTTCCAGTTCCATCTACATTGCTGCAAATGGAATGATTTCATTCTCATTGCCAAGTAGTATTTCATTTGTGTATAAACTATGCCTTCTTTATCCATTTATCAGTTGATGGACATTTAGGCTCAAAGCAAGACCAAACAACAGACAGCTTTTAAAAAGATCCAGAACAATCTATATGCCAATACTTTTACATGCTACAATTTCTTTTTTTCTTTTAATGTTTGTTTATTTATTTTGAGAGAGAGGAAGAGAGCATGCAAGCAGGGGAGGAGCAGAGAGAGAGGGAGAGAAAGAGAGAATCCTAAGCAGGCTCTGTGCGGGGCTGTCAGTGCAGGGCTCAATCTCAGTCTCAAGAACTGTGAGACTATGGCCTGAGCTGAAATCCAGAGTTGGATGTTCAACTGACTGAGCCACCTAGGTGCTCCAAGAGTTGCACACTACAATTTCAAAATGAAAAAGATTCTCAGAATGCATGTTATCTCATGTGGTATTAGTGGTCAAGGTGGAGATAGTAGTTATGGTGTGTGCTGCCTTTCTGCTGCTCATTTTCCTTAACTTTTGTCTTTTTGTGTTGTCTCCATTGGGAACAGAAGGCACATATTCTGGATGTTATATCTCTTCAATTCATGTGAGAACATTTGATTCTACATTTCTGGAATTAGGTGTGATACATGCCACCTTCTGGCCATTATTAAGAACGCACCTAAAATGAAGAGGGAGGAGCATGAGAGAGAGCGAATTGAGCCTGAAAGCAGTGCTTTCTGAAGCCAGATACCCCATCCTCACCACCAGAACTACCTGTGGTGCTTGTTCAATGCAGTTTGCTGGACCCCAGCCCATACTCAACATGATTGGTGTCTCTGGAGGTGGAACGGGAATCTGGATTTATAGCAAGAACTTTGCCCACTAAAGTTGGAGAAGCACAAGCTTAGAGACATGCAGGATTTTTCTGCCCCTAATTAACTATATAACTTAGCTCTCTTCTCTTCCTTCCCCTTCTCCATGCTTCCATTGCTACCAGTGCCCTCTACTGAAGGGGCTACAGTTGTCCATGTGTCCTGATAGTGGGCACCAAAGCTTTTCCTGTCCTGACAGTACAGACGCCATGGTAAACCCAACTGCCTGACTTATCTTTTGTATCATAATAAAAAACAAAAAATATATTTTGCATTTTTAAAACTTAATTTCTTTAAACTTTGTCAAGCACTTTTGTGTACCTTATTTTATTGGTCCTCGAAGTTTACTTTCTATAGACTCCCTTCAGAGACCATAAAACTGAGTTTTCTTCAGTTTTAGTATGCATGTTTTACATTCCATATGCACAGGAGAGAGACATTTTAAAAATGAAGAAAATTCAGTTTATCATATATATTGCCTTATCATATATATTGAATTCCATATATATATCTAATTTATATATATATATATATGTAAAATGATGAATAGGGGTTGACCTCCTCCTCTAAATGATCAAAAACCCTAACGTATGCTCTTTCTAGAGGTTCCTAGATTGTATGATTCCTGTTTGCACAAGTTTTAAATTTGCAGTAAGTTCCTCAAAGATATTCTTTATAATTAAAAGCTCCTTAAAATTGTTGTTGTTGTTATTTTTAAAAAATGCTACCCTGGAATTCCTGAACTTCTTCATCAGTCTAGATGTGGTCTCTGAATTCAAAGGATAGATGCAGATTGAACATCAAACTTGTCCTGGTAGGATAACTAGTTCTCCCTGTTATGACAAGTTATTTATAATAATAGAGCATTGTTATGTATGCTAGCTTACTGTTAATTCATTCCATAAATATTTATTGAGTGCCTATTATGTATAAGACACTATTCCAGAGGATACAGAAGTGAATAAAACATATAAAAATGACCTACCTTCTTGGAGTTCACATTTTAATGGGAGGAGACAGGCAATAAACAATGTAAAGTATAGTAAGTCCTATGGAGAAAGTAATGGAGAAATGATGGCTAGGGAGTATTGAATGGTTTGAAATGATAAGGCATTCTGGGAAGGCTCACTAAGAAAGTCATGTTTGAGGAAAGATGAAAGGCATGTGAGATATCTGGGGAAAGAATGTTTTAGATAGAAGGCAATCTAAGCAAAAGGGCTTTGAGAAGCAAATTGTTTTCCCAGTTTTATTGACAAATCATTGATACACATCACTATATAAATTTAAGGTGTACAGTGTGATGGTTCAACTTGCATATATTGTGAAATTATTGTAGTAATAAGTTCAGTTAGCATCCATCATCTCATATAGATACAATAAAGAAAGCAAAAATAAAAGTTTTTCTTATAATGAGAACTCTTACGATTTACTCTCTTAAAACTTTCCTATATTATCATTCAGCAATGTTAGCTATAGTTTTCATATTGTATAGTACATCCCTAGTATTTGTTTGTCCTTTAACTGAGAGTTTGTACCTTGACCCTACCCCCTACCCCACGCTTTTTCCAATGGAGATCTCACAGTATTTTTCTTTTTCTGCCTGACTTATTTCACTTAACATAATGCCTTCAAGATTCATCCATGTTATCACAAGTGGCAGGATTTCCTTGTTTCTTATGAGTAAATAATATTCTTACACACACACACACACACACACACAGACATCACAGCTTCTTTATGCATTCATCTATTGATGGACACAGGCTTTCTCCATGTCTTGGCTATTGTAAATAATGACACATAAAGGTACAGGTATTTTTTTTTTAATTAGTATTTTTGTTTTCTTTAGATAAACACCCAGAAGTGGAATTGCTTTATCATAATGTAGTTCTATTTTTAATTTTATGAGGATCTTCCATACTTTTCACATAATGTTTCTGCCAATTTACATTTCCACCAACAGTGTACCAAGCTTCCCTTTTCTTCACATCTTTACCACCATTGTACCACCTCTTGTCTTTTAATGATGACCATCCGAACAGGCGTGAGGTGATACGAAAAAGGAATATGCATGGCGTATTCCAGGTTCACAAGGAGGCCTATGTAACAGGGACTGAGAAAGTGAGGAGATATAGTAGAAAATGAAATCAGAGAGTTGACTGGGTGCCGGATTGATCAAGACATTATAGGCCGTTGTGTGGACTCTGAGTGAAACGTGTAGCTATTGATGGGTTTTTGGGAAAGAAGGGACCTGGAATGTTTTAAAAAGATTATTCTGAATCTTATATTAAGAACACACTGTAAAGGGCCAGAGAAAGAACAGGAAGAACAACTGGGAAGCTGTGGTAGACCATTATTCAACAAACATTCCCATTCCCATCCTCTACATTAGGTGGAATAAATTTTACCCACCCACTTAAACTGGATTTGCTCATTTAATTGGCTTTAGCCAATGAAATGTGAGTGAAAAGTTACTGTATGCCAACCTAGAGATGAAGCTTTAAAAGACACAGCTGGTTTTCTTCAGCCCTGTTGTCTAAAGTGAATCTCAAGTAGTCAGTGTTCCTTTAGCCTGGGCACCAGAATGAGAGACATGCAGCAGACAGCAACGTGATCTGCATCCTAGAGCCAAGACAAGATGACCCAGCAAAGCTCAGTCAAGCACAGGAAAGTCACAGCAGATTTGTAGATTTTTGAGCAAGAAGTAAATTATGTTGAAAGCCACTGAGATTTGGAAAGATATTTTTTATGCAGTAAAGTCTGATTAATGCGGGTACTATTATAATAACTTAGGAAAACAGTGATGGCAAACTAGAGTGAAATAGGGTAGTTGTGGTAGGATAAGAATCTGGATATATGTTTGAAGGAAGGAAAGATTGAAAGAGGGACATTATCTGGGGCATGCATAAAAGATCAGAGTTAAACTTTGTATATGTTAATTTGATATGCCTATTATATTTGCAAACAGAGGTGTCCAATGAGCGGTTTGGTATTTAAATAAAGTCTTCAGGAGAACACCACTTCTTCTGGCCATGAAAGATTAACAGTGACTAGATTTATTCTTCCACCTTTAAGAACTAGAAAGTTGGAAAACAGTGTTTCCAAAACATTGGATAACAGGTCCTGGGCATCCTGAGAGAAGGAAAAACAAGGTGAACCTTATTGCCCTATTTTGGCTTGCCATCTGGAGGCAGTTTTCAGTTTTCAGTGGATGGAGGGAAAGCTCAAACAAAGTCTGGTGGTATAACTGAATAGAGAAGATAAAGACAGAAGTTCAGAGAGGCCAAGTAGGCTAGAGTCATTTTAGGTGAGGGGAGGGAAGAAGAGAAATAGTGAGAAAGAAAGGAGGAGGGAGAGAGAGGGAAAGATTGATTCAGAAGTTTGCAGAGGCCTCTTGACCTTTGTCTGAGTACTGATAAATGCATGTGAGAGAGAAAACTACCCCAGGCAGGGGAAAGGACCACTGAAAAGCAATAACCTAAATAATTCCTAAAGCTCACGTGAGACTGGGATGACTGGTATTTTCACCAGTCAGAGAGGAAAGACCTTGTGTTGTATGGAGCATTGGAGAAACTTCAGAAGGGTACCTTAGTAGTCAGGTAGTAGTGAAGCTAAATTAGAATTAGGCTAAAGGATGTTCTAAGTCTCCCTAATAAAGTTTAAAAATAAGCCTCAAAAGAGTTAGACTGATTCAAAATAACTGTGTGCCAGAAGAAAGCCCAACACTATTAAAAGGAACTCAACAAAATATAGCACCCAATTATGTAAGGTCTCAATGTCCAGTATTCAGTAAAAATTACCAGAAATTCAAATGCAGAAACATGACCTATAATCACAAGAAAAATGTCAATAAATAGAAATAGAACTAGAAATTACAGTGGTGATAGAATAACTGAAATTGGTTATTACAATTTACTTCATATTAACACAAGAGTAAGGGGAAACAGAATATGATGAAAACAGAAATGGATAATATGAAAAAGATCCAAATCAAACTTCAAGAGATAAAAAATACATATCCAAGATGAAGAATAAATGGGGTAGACAAAGTAAAAACCTCAGAAGAAAAGAACAGGGCAATAGAAACCATAAAAATGAAGTACAGAGAGGAAGAAGATTGAAAGAAAAGTGAACAGACCTGAGGTACAATATCAGGAGATGGTAGATATTTAGAATTGAAATCCTAGAAGCAAGGTGGGAAGAGGGCAGAAAATATTTAAAGGAAAATGGCCAGATTTTTTCCAAATATGATGAAAACTCTGTGTACAGATCCAAGAAACCCAAGAGATCCCAAGGAGGAAAATTGTAAAGAAAACCACACCAAATTTATATTCAAATTTTATAATCAAAATTTAGGAAGCAATGATAAAAATAAGATCCTAGATCCTAATAGTAGCCAGAATAAAAAAGACATATTCATATCAGTACTTTTTTTTGGTCAGAAACTATGCAAGACAGAAGACGATCCTCAGTATTAAAAAAAATTTTTTTAATGTTTATTTCTGAGAGAGAGACGAGTGTGTGAGTGGGGGAGGAGCAGAGTCAGAAGCAGGCTCCAGGCTCTGAGCTAGCTGTCAGCACTGAGCCCGACGCAGGGCTCAAACCCACGAACTGCGAGATCATGACCTGAGCTGAAGTTGGACCCTTAACCAACTGAGCCACAAAGACACCCCAGCAATTCTCAGTATTAAAAATGTCAATCTAGAATTCTATACCCAGCTTTCTGATTTTTCACAAATGAAAGTGAAATAAACACTTTTCAGAAAAACAAATGCAGACAAAATTAGTGTCAGCAAGAAATGCTGAAGGAACTTATGCAGGCAGAAGGAAAATGATACCAGATGGAAATTTGGATCTTTATTATGGGATGGGAAGTGCCAGAAATGGTAAGTATATGGTAAATATGAAATGCTTTATGTTCTTAGTTTTTAAGTCTTTAAAAGGTAAGGATTGCTTAAAGTGAAATAGAAATAACATATTGTTGGGTTTAAAACATATGTAGAAATAAAGTATATTATAAAATAGCTCAAAGGACAGGATGGTGAATTAGAAGTATCAGGTTGAAAGTTCCTCATAATGTGCATGAAATGACTTATCATTTGAAGGTAGATGGTTGTATTAGTTACCTATTCCTGAATAACAAATTACCCCAAATTTAGCAACTTAAAACAGCAGTGAACATTTGTTGTCTCACATAGTTTTGTGCTTTAGGATGGGCTTAGCTGGGTGGCGCTTGCTCGAGATCTCTCATTAGGTTGCAGTTTAGATTAAAAGGGGTTGCTGTCATCTGAACACTTTACTAGGGATGTAGAATTTGCTTCCCAGGTAGCCAGGTGACTAGAAAGTTGGTGCTAGGTCTCGGCCAGAGTCCTCGGTTATTTTCTGTGTGAACTTTCCATAGGGCTATTGAGTGTCCTCAGGGCCGCAGCTG